AGCAACAACAACCAACAATAACAAACGCGTACAAATTAGCCGTCGGAGCTCCGGCACATTTCTTGGATCGGCTCTGGTCCTCTCCTTGGGGCAGCACCGAGGGGGGATCCAGCGCCGATCCAGGACACCTACGTGGACCTCCGAAAATCTGTGGCTACGCAACTGTTCCTCCTTCGCTGTATGACTTAGAGGGGTCAGCTTCCTCTCTCGATCCGTGGGCCACGCGCCGCGGCGCGGCACACGTCGCGACCTCCTCATGGCGCGGAAGCGTGTGGGGCGATCCAGGGAGGGCCTCGTCCTCGAGGGAGCGAGGGAGTTAACATCTCTTCCTCGGCGGCGGAAGGCCGGCGGAAGTGAAACGATGCGATCTGCGCCACAAAGAGTATAACATGCGCGGTTCTGAACTCAGGGTTTCTGGAACCCCTCATGTGGGGCGATCCAGAAAAGGCCTCGCCTTCGAGGGATCCTGCTGTTTTCAAACGCCATCGCACAAGGTACCACAGCGCAGCAAAGCACACGACGACGTCACAGCCCAGCACCAGCAGGCCCTGTGAGCGAGGAACCCAGCGCTCCATGGCCACGAGGAGCCGAGCCTGCAGGGGGCACGGGGGCGCCAGAAGGAACGGTTTCTCTGCTAGCGCAGCTCTGTGGCCGCGGCGATGTGGGACACAACGCGCTCGGGCCGCACGACGAGGGGGCCCATTGAGAAGCAACGTTCGGGGGGACCAGCTCGGGGGGGGGAAACAGACCTGGAATCGACTATATGTCGCCGGTAGACTGGCGATCAGCTGTCAGATGGCGAACTGGAAAGCTCCCTGGCGGGATGGGGTGTCGGGTCCCTGTCGGCGATAAGTGGGCGATTGGGGGTCGATGCGTCCTCCCCCTGAGCGTATTTCCCCTAATGCCCCTGACCCGTGGAAGGCCCCAGGGGGCCGATACCGCGCCGCTCCCCACTGAGGCGAGAGCGCTGCGTGATTCGGCTGCCTCGCCCGGTGCACAGCCTCCTGCGCACGAGGCCTAGCGGCGGGACTGCTCGCTACGCGTTCGTGCGAGGTGGGGATTTAGTCGTACCCACCGCATCGGGGATCGTTCCTCGGAGACATCGGCGGGCGGTGGACGTGGATACATGTGTCCCCATCCAGGGCCCGAATGTATCCACATCCGCCGCCTTCCGAGGTCCCCGAAGATCAATCGCGTTCGGGCCAGAACGGGTCTGAGACTAGCTGATTGTGCACGGTGGGTTCGTGTCGTGACGTCGGCGTTGTTTCTGACACCGCGTGGATCGTTCAACCTTCAACGATCGGCGGCGTTCCCATCGTCAGATCCTTCCATATAGGTCTGGAGTCTGGCCCACCGGCGGCGTTCAACATTGAACGCCCGCGCGGGTCGGCATGGTACCAACTTTGTCCACAGTTGACTGTGCACCTGTGCAGTGGGAGAAGCGGGAGGGCGGCCGCGGCCTCGGAACAAAACAAGCCAGAGCCCCCTCGCCGCCACGCCTGCATGAGGATGTTCGGCACGCGCTTGTGGCAAGGCAACCAAAGAACGGTCGTGCAAGCGCGGCCAACCAAACGGCCCGCATCGACAAAGCACGTTGATGTCCATCGTTCGTCATCTCTCCACCTTCTCCTGCGCCTTCTCCTCATGTTCCTCACCCTCTGCTCTCTCCTCGCCCTCCTCCTACTCCACTGGGAAGTAGAGGAGGAGAGGAGGAGAGGGGGCGGGAGAAGGGGAGGTAGAAGGGAGGAAGTGGAGGGGGGGAGGGAGTGGAGAGGCATATCCACTGGCCCAGGTCTGGCCCAGCCTGGGGCCAAGTGCGGTGCATCGTATGCCTCCCTGGCCATTGGCTGGAGTGCCCAAGATGTGTACAATTTTTCTCGCCCCACGGCAGCCATGTGCCTACCAAGTGGCTCCCCTGACATCCGCCGATCTGACTTCAATCCGCGGCCCCAGCGGTCCCGACGGCCGCCCCAGGGCGGCTTTCTTCCCGGATCCCTGTTCAGTGGTCCCGGGCCCGGGAAACGGGCCCCTGCCGAACTCAAGAAACAGAGCCGCTTGACCAAAGTGACACCGCCAGAGATCTGGCTCCCCCCGGCGGCCCACTTCGGCCCCCACGCGAGCGCACGGCGCCCCCACAGACCGCGCGCGGCGGGCGACCGAGACGGCAGGCACCGCGCGCCGGCAGGGGGGGCGAGGCGGGAGGAAGACGGAGATGGGCCGCGCGCCCTCATGGGGGGAGTTTTCTGAGCACTCTCCGGAGCCACAGGGGGCTTCTCGGACGGCTGGAGGGCTTCTGAGAAGCCCCGGCGCCTTCTGACGAAGCCTGCCCCCTCTCACTTCCCCCTCGGCGCGCCGACGAGGAGAGGCAGCCTACAGCAAATTCGTGCCTTGACGACTTCGGCGCTGGTTTCTGGCACCGCGTGGATCGTTCAGCTGTTTTCTCGTAGCTGCTTGTTCCTGACCGTGCTCCACGCTGCCGTGCAGCAGCCACATTGTGGCTGTCGTGATGGCTTGCATGACACCCTCACGCCTCCTGCTCCTTGCGCTACCGGAAAGCTTCTTCACTTCAGCGCTGACGTGCACCCGAAGACACAAGAAGCCATGCAGCAAAGCATCGTGACCTACGGCGAGGCCAAGATGCTGCGACATCCCAGCGATTCAAAACATCCACAGCGCCTATCTTCGAAACGCATGCGCATCAATTGTCGCTGAAAGATACAGCAGAATCAAGAGAAGGTAGGAAGAGAGGAGGAAGAAGGACGACCAGGAAGCGGAGGAGGGGCAAGATGAGAAGGAAGCGAGATTTCCGATGCCCAGACACGCTGTGCTTTCCAAGTAGACCTTAAAAATCAAACCTGTACTCTGTGAAATGCCCCAATAGCAAGCACACGACGATTCTTGCCGAGCGCTACTGAGATCACGGGCGCATATTCCAAGCCAACACATGATGCGGGGACAACCGCACATACATTACGAAACAATACGTGAATGAACATGTGTAAACTTATGTACTCATGAATGTGGTTTCGCCTTGCATGCTTCCCATCCATGGCAGAACATACACGGCACCTCCTGTGCAAACGCTCTCAACAGGACTCGCGGCTACTGCCCTAAATTAACGAAGAAAACAACATGCAACGCGCGGATTGTGAAGTGCTGGCGTTGACCGGTCAGACAAGTGCTTACACAATCTGTGCCATCTAGATCAAGTTCAAATGAAAAATGCGTCATCGCCAACCCTGTGCGAACTCACAAGGCGGTAATACAGCAAGTCGAGTTGCAGACAAATTAATGGCCGTGGTGCAATTCGCAAAGTTGCGCCGACTTTGCGCCGTATACAAAAAACTGCCAAACAAAAAACAAGCAGCCTTAGCGCCGTCCCAAGGCGAACGCCATGGGCGGCAAGCTCGGCTGGGCAGGAGCTGATGCCCGGGGCGCATGCAAAAGTGGAGCACTCAAGCTGTTCCCCACGCAATCTGACAGGGCAAACATCGATTGCGCAGGATGCTTCAATCAGATGAGACCCGACTGACTCAGTCAGTGGTCGAGAATGCGAAGGATGAGGACGAGGAACAAAAAGAAGGAGATGGAGGATGAGGAGGAGGAGAGAAGCGAGAAACCCTCAACTGCCGCCATGATTTCTCGCACATGGCGAGGCGCCTCGGTCTACCCATGAGCGTTGTAGCTGATACAACACTGGCTGCGCAAGGCAAACAGTGACAAGACGAAATCAGCCCAATTGCAAGCCGTGGACAGAAACGCCCTGGCACTGAGCGCCGCTGCTAATCCCACCAGCCCCCGAAACGTAGGTGGTCTAGCGATATCTTGTGTTCCTCGTCCCAAACCCCTGTTCCCTTCGGGGAGGGGTACCATCTCCCTCTCCTCCCTGTGTTTTGTTTGGGGGAAGGGGGGGGGGGAGCGCGAGTGATCAGGGCGCTAACGATGGCTCCAAGAAGGCTGCCGATGCTCCGAGATGGCCTCCAACATGGCTCAAGATAACCGAAGATGGTTCAATACAGCTTCCGACATGCCTCAAAGAGACCCAGAGGGGCCACAATAAAATGAAAAGTGCTCTCGGAGGCCTCCGGGGACCCCCCCAAGAGCACTCAATCCTGCACAAGCCTAAGGAAAATCAATACCTTGTGCCTTCTCGCCTTTTCGCTTGCGATGCGATTTGAAGGCCTCAAGATGGCCCCAAGATGGCCCAAGAGAGGCCCAAGAGGGGTCCAAGAGGCCCCCAAGACGGCCACAAGAGCGCCCCAAGAGGGCCCCGAGCGATTTTGAGGGCCCCAGGGGGGGCTAGATAACGGATCCCCCCTTTGGGTCGATGGCTTCCAAGATGGCCCCAGGAGGCCCTCCAGGGCTCCCAGGAGAGCCCCAAGAGATCCCCAAGAGGGCCTCAAGAGGGCCGCAAGACGGCCCCAAGGCGGCCCCAAGCGCACCCCAAGAGCGTCCCATAAAAGCCCTAAGAGGCGGTGTGCCTCCTCCTCCTCATCCTCCTCCTTGTCCTCCTCCTTGTCCTCCTCCTCCTCCTCCTCATCTTCCTCCTCCTCCTCCTCCTTCTGTCTGTTCATTCTAATTGCCCGCTTAGTTTGACTATATGTGTCTCTTTGTCCCTTTTTCCCGTCAACTCTCATGGGCAAGGTTTCTGTACGGGCTGGTGGGGACTCGCGAAGCATGAAGAATTCACCAACTAAATCGCCACGAAAGATCGTGAGCGACACTCCCTTCGCCATTCTCTGGCACTTGCCCGTTGCGAGCTGTTGCCGACCATAGCAAACCAAACGCCGTCCCGAGGCAAACCTAGTGTTGTGGCGGGCATGTCCCCCTACAGGGGGATGTTCGACGAACAATAAATAAAAAAAATGCAGCCAAAATACCCCAAAAGGGTAAAAAAAAAAAAATACTAAAAAAATAGTCCCCAGACCATGTTTGGACTATTTTTGATTATGTTTGAAATACTTTTATTTTTCGTGGAAAATCCCCCTGTAGGGGGACAGGCCCGACCTAAACCTAGTGGGCGTCAAACAAGTCTGCTCAAAATAGAATGGCCGTGTCGCAACTCGCAACCGGCAAGGAAACTCGGTGGTCCCCATTCTCGGTTCTCGGCTTACTGCGTCTCTCTACTCTTTGGTCCCTGCCTTCGAGATCGCAAACGGTGGACTGCGGCTGCTGATGGCTAATTAGAGCAGTGGGCGCTCAGTGCGCAGCCTGCTGCAACGCCCTACCGAGAGGATGTGGGGGAGTTTCCTGACACCCATAAGTTGGTGGGGGGCCTACCTGGGAAACACCCGAGGAACGCCAGAGCTCAACAGGGACAGGGGCGGAGGGCTTCCTCGCGCTTCACCCTGCCCTTGTCGCAGGCGGCCGCCGCCGTCGGCAGACCCTTATGAATGGATCCGCGCCAAGCTCACGTGGCCCTTGCGAGCCTCCCCCAGACAAAACCCCAAGAGGTTACGGGGGTCGACGGAGGCCGTGCGCATGCAACGAGAGCAAATGAAAAGGCTGCGGCGCGGCCACAGCAAAGTGGGACTCGGACAGTCGCCGTCCCCCTACCCAAGCCTCGCCCCGAATGATGAGAGGAAGAGAAATCAGGAAAACAGAAAGAGAGAAAGAGAGAAAGAGAGAGTAGGGGGCAAACAAACCTACCTCGCTTTTGACCACCCTCGCTTCCAAGAGATACCAAGCGATGCCAAACTACGGCCTGTACTGGTCAGGCCGCTTGACGAGGAGGCGTGTGGTATGACTTGGTTTTGCCTGGAAGCGAAAGCGGGGTATGTAATTCACGCTCTGAGAGAGAGAGAGAGAACGCCGGCTTAAGTCGACGCCTGGGGTTCCCGCCCAGTCGGGGTGCCTCGACCTTCCCGACGGGCCTGCTCACGCGGCCGCGCCAGAGCGAGCAGGCCCCGGCGGCGCGCTGCGGCTCCGGACCGCTGGAGCCCACGGCGCGCTGACAGCGGGGGCTTGCGCTGCCGGGCCCGCGCGCCCGCGCGGGACCGCGCGGGCCGCTGTCTCTGTGGAACCCGCAGAGCTGGGGCCCAGGCCTTCCGCCTCGCAGCCAGAGGAGAAGCTGGCGCTGCGACTCGACCCAGACGGCCGACCCGCCGACGTGGAGCCGGCGGAGGTGGAGCTGCAGCCTGGCGTCTTCAAGGCCGTCGATCCGAAGGGCGCGATGCTGATGTCGCTCGCGAGCAGGGTCTGCTTGCTGCCATGCCGCAGGGCGAGCTCCACGCTTCTGGGGTCCCCCATGACCACGAACCCGACGTCCACGCACTGACCCTTTGGTCGCGCCGCGGTCTGCTGACCGCGACCCTCCGCCACCGCGGCCTCTCTGCCGCGGCCCTGCGCCGCCCGCGGAAGGCGCGCGACCAACACGCGGCCGACGTCCCCGAACTCCAGGAAGTGCATCGACAGCAAATACTCCGGCCAGTCACCGAGGCCTCCGACCCCGCGAACAACGAGGACGCACCGCGGGTCCTCGCGCTGCAAGGTCCGCAAGAGGCCGCCGATGTGACGGGACGACGACCAGGCCCGGCGCCCTCGACCAACCCGCCCGCCTGGGGCGCGGGCGCCCAGAACACCGCCGTGACCGTGGATGTCGTCACCGCATGACCCCGACTCTGCGCTGTGCTCCTTGGAGTGGCCCACTTGGGTCATCATGGGTTGCTTGGGCCAACACGGCCACAGAGGCGTGGATCGTTCGACTTTGAGCGATCGCGGCTACCCGGTTACGCAGATCGTTCGATGTTGGCTGATTCCAAGCCGCTGGCGGCGTCCAACCTTGAACGCCAGCGCCGTGGTCGCCGCCGCGTCGGCACGACACGAGCCGGCCGCAGACGTAGGCGTAAGGAGGCGACCCAGGGATGGAAAACCACACACGTTCATATGAAATCCAACTGCAAGACGCAAGGGCCCCATTGATTACTAAATGTCGGGAGGGCGCCGAAGACCCCCAAACCTACCCTGGTCGCGGGCCCACCCGCGCGCCACAGGCGCCGCACCCCATGGCGACGATGCGAGGTTGACCTCCGTCGAGGGAGGGGGGGACCGGGCGGCCATCACCGAGTGCAGAATACCGCATACCCGCAACGGCGTCTGACCGCAGCGCGTCCCGCCCGACGGGCCATTGCTGCGCGGCGCAAGAGCGGATTCGCGAGGCCGCGCGACTGGTCGCCGAATCAAGGAGGGAATCAAAAAACGGCATTAGCTTTCAAAGGCCCCGGGCGACTGTTCTCGTGGCTCGGTGCTGGACCCACCAACCCCTGGCGCGCGAAGCGCGTCAGGGGCGACGCCGCCAAGGGGGGTTGGGCGCCTACCAAGAAATCAAGTTTGTGCGCGTGCCTTCTTGGGTTCTCGAGGACCGACGACACGGTGTGATTGGCCCAGGACTCGGTCCACGAGTTCCCGGGTCTCCAGCGGCACTCATTTCTGCATCCCGCTCGGATCGAGATGGGGCAGCGCCGCGCGGCCGGGCCGAAACGCGGCGCAGGCCTGGGTGCCCCAGACTCCAGGCGTCCGACGTCGTGATTTCGTCGCAACGTCACCCCCCAAAGGTCTGGACCCCTTCCGAATCGTCTTTTGATGGCCCCAGGGCCCCGTAATGGGTCCCAAATGTCCCACCCCTTTCCTTAAAATTAGCCCCCCCCTGTCGCACCCCCAAAGACTTCCTCACCATTCATGATCCAGTTCCACGGAAGGACGTGGGGGCGCTCTCAAAAATTTGGCTCTCGCCTTAACGCCGCGCACCATCGTCCTAAACGGTTGCAACAATTTCACAGATGGAGGTGGGTGGTTTCCAATGAGTGACTCTCGCCTTAGCGCCGCGCACAATCTTAAAATATTGCAGCACTATCCCGGAAGGAAGGGGTCGAAATATGGTTCTCACCTTTGCCCGTGCACATTCGCTTAGAACAGCTGCAGCTCTTCCCGGACGGAAGGGGGGGCCGTTTTCAAAATGGTGTTCTCGCCTTAGCGCTGCACACATTCTCCGTAGAAGTTCGCAACAGCTTCACGGATGGAGGGCGGCTCCTGTTCATACTGTTGTTCCCAATCATCCTGTGTTAGGTCCTCGTTTTGAAGAGACAGCTCCCCGCATCACTCACTCCTTCCTCCTCCCTCTCCTCCCTCCTCCCATCCTTGCCCCTGCCCTCCACGTGTCAAACAATTCGGCACACCGCTCGCACGCTTCGTGGCCCCATCCCAATGGCGCAAACCGCATGCGTCCCCCCCCCACACACACATTTCCGCACACCCGTCACAAGCTTCGTGGCCCCATAGGGAGTTCCAACGAAGGCCCTAGCGGCAGAGCGTGCATGGCGCACCCGCACTCGACTCGGCGCACCCCTCACACGCTTCGCGGCTGCATAGAGAGCTCCAACAAAGGCTCTTACGGCAGGGTCCGCATGGCGTACCCGGAACCAGTTCGGCACACCCTTCGCATGCTCCGTGGCCCCGTAGGAAGCTCCACCACAAGCCCAAGAGGCGAAGTTCACACGCGGTGCCCGCACCTGGCTCGGCGCACCCCTCACAGGCTTCGTGGCCTCATGGGGACCTTCCACAGGAGGCCCCAACGGCAAGGTCCGCATGATGGTATATCCGCACCCGATTCTGCACACCACTCGCACGCGTAGTAGTTCCATAGGGAGCTTCACCAGAAGTCCCAGCGGCAGAATCCGCATGGCGTACCCGCACCCGATTCGGCACAACCCTCACACGTTTCGTGACCACCACGCCGCGCACATTCGTTTTGAAAGTTTCCAGCAACTTCAAGGATGGAGGGTGGCTCCTGTTCAAACTGTTGTTCTTGCAATAGCGCCGCGCACGTTCGTCTTGAAAGCTCCAGCACAACATCTTACCATTATTTGGTATTGGGTCCTCCCGAAGGGCGGGATGGGCGGTGGTTCAGCGGGGGCGGGACGGGACTGTTCGGAAGCTCCTCGGCTCTCTCACCTCCCAGCTCCCTCCCGCCGCTCGCGCGGCCGAGCGGCGAGCCCACTGCCGAGGGGCAGACTATGCAGACGGCAGCCAGCCGTATGTTGGCGACAACGCGGCGGCGTTGGCCGCGCGAGCACGCGGGCGCGCGTGCGTCTCCAGCCCAACGCGGAAGGATGCCGGGCACTGGGCGCGGAGTGCGGCGCGGTGGCCTCGCGAACAGTGCGGGTCTGAAGGTGAGGGCGCACCGGGACGTTCCCGCCGCCCCTCAGACGGAGGGCGAGTGGCGGGTCGTCCTCAACTCCTGGGCTGACGAGGCGGCCAAAGAGGCACTCAGCCTGTGGCCCAGGTGGGCTCAGGACGAGGCCGCCCTGGAGGATGCCTGCGCCGAGCCGCGGCGTGGACTGTCGAACCTGGGGCGGGTGCTGGCGTGTGGGCCTGCTCCCAAGGTGGGGCGGGCTCACCTGCCCCCGCGTGCGCGGCCCCTGGCGTGGGTGCGCCCGTGCTTTCTGCAACGCGATCTGCACGAGGTGGCGGACGGCCGCTGGTAGTGCGTTCAGTGCTTGCACGGTTTCTTGAGCTGGAAGGCTGGGACGGCCTCTCTGAGTGTGGGCGCGAGGCGCCCAAGAGCTGGAGGAGCCTGCGAGAGTTCGAAGGGCCCCATGTCTTGTGGGGTGCGGTGATTGGTCCGATGGGCTGCTCACCAGAGCAGGGCGACTTCTTGCTGTACTGTGTGTAATGCGCGCAGTGTGCCTAGCTGCACCCTGTCGGCCTGGCCAACAAGTGCCCAGCGAAGCAGCCTGGTTTTGCCTTGGACAAGATGGGCAAGGAACGGCGGAGCCTCTTAGAGCGTGGCCTCCACCCCAGAACTGGGAGGAAGGAGGTCGTCCTTGAGTACTGGGCCCTCAAGGATCTCGGTTTCCTCACTCACGGGAATGAGAACAGTGCGTAGTGCACCTCTGGAGCTGGCACGGCGTCCACAGGGAAGCACAACAGTCTTCCTCTTGCTCCTCGTCCTCCTCCTCCTCCACCACCACCAACCTCCTCTCCCTAGACGTTTCCCTCGGGTACCCCCCGAGGTGCGCAGGCGTGATTGGCAGCGGCGCGTCTGCGCGGGTCATGTCATGGTGCGCCTCGTTGCCCTGGCGGCAACCGACGGCGCTGGCGACGCGGGGCCTGTCTCGCTCCGCTGGCGCTGGGCACGTGGAGGCGCTCAACATGGTGGAGACGGCTGTAGCGTCGGCGGTCTCGGCGGCGATGCGTGCTGCTACGACGCCTGCCAAGGCGCGCCCGCAGCCAAGGCCTTCGACGATCAGGCCATCGTCGGCGCCGTTGAAGGCCATCCTGGACGGCGAGGTGGAGGACAAGATGCTCTCGCCTCCTCCAGGCAACTGGGAGCACCAGGAGGTAGACAAGCTGAAGGTGAGCACGCGCTGGTCGCGCTGGAAAAGGATAGCCAAGCCTCGCTCGCGCTCGCGGTCCCTGAGGATGGAGGCATCGACATCGGCGTCGGCTGCCTCGACTCCGTGGACCCGCTCGGGACCGCCATCATGGTGGGTGGGCGCCAGGCCGAAGAGTGGCTCGGTCGCGACGGGGTTCCCGAAGGAGAAGAAGGACAAGGAGGACAAGAAGTATAATCATCCTGGCGAAGGACCCATCCATATACAGTTGTGAATAACAAGTTGTGGGTGCCGCATTCGGTGGACCTCCTTATGGGGCCACGAAACGCGTGAGGGACGTGCCGAAATGGGTGGGGGAGACGCATGCGGGCGGTGCCAGTGGGGCCTTCGGTGGGGCTCGCTATGGGCCGCGACACGCTGTCCTAGGTATGGCTCACGCATCTCCCGATGAGGCCACGAAACGCTGTATTGGTTGGGGGAAACGCATGCGGGCGGTGCCGCTGGGGTCTTTCTGTGGAGCTCCCTACGGGGCCACGAAACGCTGCACTGGGTGGTGGCCGACGCATGCGGGCGGTGCCACTGGGACCTTCGGTGAAGCTCCTTATGGGACCACAGGAGGGGGGGACGCATGCGGGCGATGCCACTGGGGCCTTCGGTGGCCACTGGAACTCCCTACGGGGCCACGAAACGCTATACCGGGTGGGGGGGACGCATGCGGGAGTTGCCACTGGGGCTTGGTGGAGCTCACAATCAATGGGGCCGCGAAATGCAATACTGGGTGGTCGACGACGCATGCGGGCGGTGCAACTGGTGTTTTTCTGTGGGGTTCCCTATGGGGCCACGAAACGATGTTCTGGGGGTGGCGAACGCATGTGGCCACCTTCACTGGGGCCTTACGTGGAGCTCCCCACGGGGCCACGAACGGCTGTACTAGGTGTGGCGGACGCATGTGGCTACCCCCACTGGGGCCGCCGGTGGAGCTCCCTATGGGGCCACGAAGCGGTGTACTGGGTGTGGCGGACGCATGTGGCTACCCCCACTGGGGCCGCAAGTGGAGCTCCGTATAGGGTCACGAAGCGCTGTACTCGGTGTGGCGGACGCATGTGGCCACCCCCATTGGGGCCGAAGGTGGAGCTCACCATGGGGCCACGAAACGCTGTACTGGGTGTGGCGGACGCATGTGGCCACCCCCACTGGGGCCTTGGGTGGGGCTCCCTATGGGGCCACGAAACGGTGTACTGGGTTTGGCGGACGCATGTGGCCACCCCCACTGGGACCTTCCGTGGAGCTCCCTATGGGGCCACGAAACGCTGTACTGGGTGTGGCGGGCGAATGTGTCCACCCCCACTGGGGCCTTGGGTGGAGCTCCCCATGGGGCCACGAAGCGCT